AGAAGTCTTCTATGTGCACTTCCCATTTCATCACACAGAATTTTTAAATGGACATAAATTCAAGGGTAGATTACATACAATTAACCTCATCAGGGACATTCTTAAGTGAAATAAATTTTTTTTTAAAGCTATTAGTACAATATGGTGCCATGACTTCGATTTGTGCTAAGGTATAAGTAGTTTTAACCCCCACTGCCCCCTCCTCAGTATTATTATGCCAGTGGTGAATTTTTCAGGGTCACTATTTGACCTTTCAAGGACCACATTTGAAGAAACACTGGCTTACTCATTATTCTTTTCTCTTTTTTAAAAAAATATTTTAAAATTGATTTGAGAGAGAGGAAGGGGGAGAGCAAGTGGGAGAGGGGAGATATCAATTTGTTGTTCTATTTGTTTATGCATTCATTGGCTGATTCTTATATTTGCCCTGATCTAGGATTGAACCCACAACTTTGGCTTATCAGGATAATGCCCTAACCAACTGAACTACCCGACCAGGGCCGTAGTCACTATTCTTTTCCAGTCCCTTGTCCTGCTTCTGTTTGCCATAATCTCTGTGACTTTGCATATTTTTCTTTGTGCCTACAATGTCTTTTCTAACCAGCTGGCAGAATTCTATTTGCCTTTTAATATCTGGTTTGCATTTCATTTTTGAGAAGTCGCCTTTAAGCTGATTTCATCATCCTGTTTTTTGGTTTTGGTTTTTTTTTTTTTTTTTGCTTCTGTACCGCTCCACACTATATAGTGTTCTAGCACTTATCCCACTGAGGGCAGAGGGGCTATTAACATTTTAAAGCACCCAATATATGCTAGACCCTGTGCTAATATTCTGGATGTTTTCTCATTATATACTCTAATTAATTCTACACAGAAGGTATATGTCACTATAGCCACTGTACATGGAAGGACCTGACAAGACAGTTGAAGTCACACCCAATATTTCAGCAGTGTGATAATCTTTCCCCCATTTGTCCCTATGGCACATATATGGCACTGTTACAATATTCAATTCATGTTGACTGAACAGTCAAATAAATGAACTTAGTGACAATCTAAATCTATAATGAAAGGCTCCACAAAGTATCTCATCTTTCAGAGCCTAGGGTCTGGCCTTCAGCAGAGCACTTTTCAGTCCTTATATATAGTTTGGATTTGGAATCTTTTTTTTTATCCTCACCCAAGGACATTTTTCCATTTTTTGTTCAGGAAGAGTGGGAGGGAGAGAGAGGAACAGAGAGAGAGAGAGAGAGAGAGAGAGAGAGAGAGAGAGAGAGAAACATCGATGTGAAAGGAACACATCGAGTGGCTGCCACCCGCACAACTGACCAGGGCCGAGGACAAACTGCAACCGAGGTACGCGCCCTTAGCGGGAACCGAACCCGGGTCTCTCAGGACCGCAGGCCGACGCTCTAACCACTGAGCCAAACCGGCCAGGGCTGGATTTGGAATCTTCATTTACTATATAGAAAAACTTATATTTTCATTTCTTCCAGCAGTGTGTTTCCAGGCATGGGATGATGATGATGTAATGGTTACATTGCCATGAAACCAGACACACAAATGTTGAAATTTGACAGTAATGTTTTTCCCATCAAAGTTACTTCAAGTAAATACCAACAGTGTCTCCAAGTAAATGAGGTAATTATTGTAAAGACAAATGGTATATATATATTTTTCAATATGAGTATTCATTTTTTAAACTTTTTTAAAAAGTTAAAAAAACTATTTCATACCACTTTTTCTACTTAGTCTGGGACATGATAAAATGTGAAAATTCCAGTGTGCCTCTAAGAAAAGCTTAATACCTCAAAAGTGCAATTACTTAGACCTACAGCACATGTATTTAGAATGGTGGTGAGGTCAGTGGTTCGAAAAGTGTGGCCCCAGGACCAGCAGCGTCAGCATCACCTGGGAACTTATTAAAAATGAAAATTATGCCCAGCTGGTGTGGCTCAGTGGTTGAGCATCGACCCATGCACCAAGAGGTCACCAGTTCAATTCCTGGTCAAGGCACATGCCTAGGTTGTGGGCATAATCTCCAGTGGGGGACATGCAGAAGGAAGTCAATCAATGTTCTCTCTCATTGATGTCTCTCTCTCCCTCTCCCTTCCTCGCTCTCGCTCTATCAATAAAGAAAAAAAAAATTCAAATTGTAAGGACCTACCTCAGACCTAATGAATCAAGAGTCTATGGGGGTAGGGCCCAGCAATTTGTGTTTTAACAGCCTTCCAGTTATTGTGATGCAGGATAAAATTGGAGAACCAATGGGGCAAACCAACTGTATCATTTGGATTCATGGATGTTACCTTTAAAGAATTGATAAATTTTAGAGGATATGGCCCATTTACAATGAAATCTGTGAAAATATAAGCTGCACAGGAAGGGGTCTGCCATGCCAAGGGCCTGGGCCACCCTCAAAACCATATACAGGGGCATGCAGCCAAAGTAGAGAGTCTCATTCGGCAGAGAGAAGCCTAATCATTTCCTGCTCTGCTTTCAGGATGCAGATAAATATACCACAGAAATACTTACTGAGGAGCAAAGCCATATGTTGAGTTGCAAGAACCATCTGCCATTCCCTCAAAGGTAGCTCCAACCATGTGCTATTAAAAATCACTTCTTACCCTGGCTGTTTTTGCTCAGTGGTTAGAACGTCGGCCCACGGACCAGAGTTGCAGGTTTGATTCCGGTCAAAGGCAGGTGCTTCAGTTGCAGTTCAGTCCCCGACCCTGGTAGCGCTGGAGGCAATCAGTCAATGTGCATCTCTAATATCAATGTTTCTCTCTCAGTCTCTCTCTCTCCCTCCAACTCTGTCTGAAAATAAGTGGGAAAACATCCTTGGGTGAGGATTTAAAAAAAAAAAATTGCTTCTCTTCTAAGAAAAACACTAACCTTTATGTGCGTTTTATTACTACTGGAGTACAAACATCCTATTTATTTATTTTTTTGTTAATCCTCACCTGAGGATATTATTTTCCATTGATTTTTAAATAGAGTGGAAGGGAAGGAGGGAGGGAGGGAGAAAGAGAGATAGAGGAACATCGATTGGTTGCCTGCCGCATGTGCCCCCAACAGGGGCTGGGATGGAACTTGCAAACCATGTACGCGCCCTTGACCGGAATTGAACCCTTTGGTCCATGGGCGGATGCTCTAACCACTGAGCAACACCAGCCAGGGCTGGAATACAACATTCTATCACCCACTTTCAACCACATTCTTCCAGGAATACATTTATAACTGCTATTCTACTTGCTTTGTTATTGCATTTAAGGAAAACAGTAAATTTGGTAGCATTTTGATAACTATTTGGAGATATATAAAAAGCTTATTTTAGTATAGAATATATACAAAACTTCCTAGCATTTTGCTAGAAAAAGTGAAGGTATTAACTGTTCACTTCATTTTTATTTATACTTTTCTAAAGAAAAGCTGGTGAGAAAATCTGCCCTATCATCAGGTTGCTGTTTTTGCCAGAAAAAACACCAAGCCTAGTAGAGAAAGTTTACTACAAGTCAAGGGGAGGAAATCTCAAAATCAGATGAATGGAATCCTCAGGCCATATTTTTTATTTTATTGAGTTGTACACTTGAAACCTGTATGCCAATAAATTCAATTAAAAAAAAAATATATATATATATTATACTGTGGATATATCCACATAGGCATGTACATCCCTTCTTATTAGAGAATATATAAAAATTATTTCTAACTTGTAAAAATAATAAAAAGGACAGGAGATATAAGGAAATCATCCATTTACTAAAAACGTGGGATAGCTGTTTCTTGTTTTTATTGGTATTTCAGTAACTTTCCTTACAATATAAATGAAAAAGAAAAAACTTAAGTTTCCTAAACATAAATGTTTACTTGACTGATTATAAGTAAAAATATAACAATTTTATTTGATTTTGTGTTCATTAACAATGTATATAATAGGAAGATTCAAACTTTATAGTAGTGAGACACATTAGGGTTTGAATTTTGACCGACAATTACTAGGTATATAAATCTGGCCAGTTATTAACTTCTCAGATATTTAGTTTCCTCATCTGAAGAGTACAACCAATCTGTAGGGCTGTTATAAGGATTCGAGATGAATATTTGGGATGTGGCTTAGACAGAGTAGATGATCATTAAACAGGTATTAAAGTATGAAAAAGCCCAGCCAGTGTGGCTCAGTGGTTGAGTGTTGACCCATGCACCAAGAGGTCACCCACCAACTTGATTCGTGGTCAGGGTACATGCCCAGGTTGCAGGCTGATCCCCAGTTGGGGGGTGTGTAGGAGGCAGCCGATCAATGTTCTCTCTCTCCCTTCCTTTGTCTCTAAAATAAATACAGAAAACTATTGAAAAAGAAAAAAGATATGAAAGAAAACTAATGCCTAGAGAACTGATGTGGTTATATAATCTGCTTGGCTGAATTAAAGATTATACCTTTGGGTCTCAGTATCAATAACCAACTTTTCCTGTTTCACTGACATAACTATGAACTGCTTGCCACCCTCCCTTCTACAACACTTGGAAGAAGGACAGAAGGAGACAGCAATGAAAAGCCAAATATTGCCTTAAAATAAATACTATATATAAATAAAGATAACACCTGGTGAAAGCCAAAAAGAATTGTTCTTCAGTGAGGGAAAAAACAGTACCATCATTTATTCATTTAATCCTGTTTCTTCCTCACATTATCATAGCATTTCAAAGTAACACATTTATTGCTACTAGGGTGTTATGGATTTGCTTTTCCAGGTTAGAGCCCCTCTGTATCTACCAAATGCAGCAGGCTACTTTATCTAAAGATCCAGGGTCATAAACCTTGTTCAATTCAGTAAGAGCACTTTAGTAATATTCTAATCTTGGAATGCAGTTATAAAGATTGATGGTCACTAAATGCTACTTACAAACAAAAATGGTTCTATGTAATCTTAAAGATATTACAAAATTTAGCACATAAAAACGGGTTAAAATTTGTCCACATTTTGCTAGTCTATTTTACATACCTGAGAATTTTTTTAGGTATCTGTGATGGAGAAGAATGACTCCTTTTCTTCTCCTCTGAGTCTCGTAGTAACCCATCCTGTGTTCCACCCTTCTCCATGACTGCTGACTGGTTTGCTCTTGCCTTACTCTGATCCACACTGAGCTGGCTTTCGGCAGGGTCACATCTGTACATGAAGATGATGGCTGGCTTCTCACTGGATTCTCCTTTTGCCTCTGTGAACCAGTGATGGCGCTGAACTGGAGGAGGTGGCAGCATGTGGATAACTGTGCCATCCAGGCCCACCAGTTTCCCTTTCTCTCGTTCTTTCTCTTTGTCATCTTCCTCATCTGTTTTCCGACGGCGGAAGAAACTTTTAAATGATATCCAGCGTTTAGGTTTCGCATCAGCTGCCCGCCTGCTGCCTTCAGAGTGCAAAACTGATTCAGCTTCTGTTGACCTGGTAGGGCTGGTCGGCTTGGTCCAGTTGGTAAAATGCTTCTGCAAAAGGTTACTTGCATGGTAAGGGGAGGAAGTAGATCGTGGTGGGGGAAAAGGAGGTGATGGCTCACTCTGGATCACTAATTTGGAGGGAGAGATTATGACTGGTTTGGCTAGTGGATCTTTCTGTACTTTAGTGGTGAGATTTTCTGTGGTCTGAGGTGCTTCATGCTCACCACTGGGCTGAGATGTAAAAAGAGATTTGGGCCGGACTGGTGTACTTTTAGCAGCATCAACATCTGAAGGAATTGCATAAAGCTCTTCCACACTGCAAGCTTTAAGGCCTGACTGGGGCATTTCTGGAGGAGACTGTGGGGGATGGATAGAAGCCACAATCTGAGAAAGCACTATACTTGCTTCCTCCCTGTTGCTGCTGCCACTGCCCACCGTCTGAGACTCCTGAGTGCCTTCAGCTCTGATAACAGGTTCTTGAGTGGTTCTCTGGATCTTTGTTGGAGAGCTATTGCTGGAACTACAGCTTCTCTGTGGTGAAGACTGACCTCGATTAAGACAGCTGTTAAACTCCTGAACCTTCTGAGCCACTGAGCCTCTTTTACATTCTGTGCTATTTGAAAATTCTTTAGCTTGGGGACAATCAGTGGGAGTGCTAGTGGTGTCATCGGATACTTTGCTTGCAGTTTCTATTTCTTCATAAGTATGGCTTATCATACTTGTAGTTTTTTCCTTCACTGAAAGTTCTCCACTTGTTCCAAGAAAACTTTTATAAATGGCTAGATTGTCATATGCATTTGGATTGATAACAATGGGAACTTTGATAGCATTTTTGGAACTCCGAGCATAAGTTGGCTCATCATGAATGATAATCGGAAAAGGAGGCATACCAGCATTGTTATAACTATTAAATTTTATTTCTGACAAATTAGGTGACTTAACAGGGATGGTTTTGGAGGAAACATTTGCAGCTATGGGTGAAGTAGGTGCTGATTTGTGACAGTTTTGCCGTGGGGGAACATTTGGTCCAGTTCCACCACTAATTAATTCCACCTTAGGTATCTTTTGTCGTGGACTGGTACTAGAAGTCCATACTTCCTGATAGCGAACTGCACTGGATTTTTGGAAATGGGCACTTATTCTTCCTGATGTTGATATAGGTGATGTCACTGGAGAGTTTGGCGTAGAAGATGCACTTTTTGTCTTGGGGCTGTTAACAGGGCCCTCGAGGTGCTCACTGGCCATGGCTGCTGACACGTCTACAACAGTATATGGCTTGCACAACGGCTGTTCGAGATTCACAATGCGGTAAGGCTTCGCTTGTTCTTGTACAGGAATGAGGTTTATGATTACTGCTTGTCCAGCAGTATCTGTAGAGGCTTTACTGTCTTGCTTCTCAGTTTGTACAGCAATCTTGCCATCTTTCTCTTCTAATCGGAGAGCAAGGACTGCTTTGTGTGTCTCTGGAACTTTTACTGAGCTTCTGGATACTTGTGATGAATCCTTCTCCTGACTGTTACCAGTCAGACGTTCATAATTGGGCTCACTTTCCTTCATGTCCTCAGAATGTCCTGGGGTACCATGTGGTATTCCCCCAATATGGATCTTCTGGGATAAACTATTGGCTGTCTCAGAATGTGATTCTTCTGTTAAAGAATCTGGTGATGTGGAGTCAGATGACACCATACTCTGAATGCTTCCTGGTCCATAGGAGACCACAGAATTCTCTTCATAACCATTCAGGATTTCATCATAACTGTCATCATAGTCTACAGCACAGATTCTCTGTAGAGACTTATTTCGCAGAGGAACAGTATTCCATTTTTTGTCCACATAAAATCGAACAGGAGACAAAGTGTTTGCCCTAAAGTTGGCAAAGCGAGGTTGCCCTCTCATACGAATTTCCATGGCCAACAGCTCTTCATCACTCTCATCCCAGCTCTCATGTTCCTCCTCCATGTTACTAAAAAGTGCATCTTCCTCACTTTCCTCACCACTAGAAAACTCTGGGTAACAGAACCGGCCCCCTTCATTACTGATAACTTCTGTGCTCCCACTCAGAATAATGTGCTTTCCTTGAGTATCCTTTATCCCACACATCATACAACTTGGTGGAAGCTTTCTTTCCAATGATCGTTTATAGCAGTCATTTATTCTTCCTAAGAATATTTCTCTGGCTTTGGTTTCATTTACTCTTATCTGAGGGGTAGTATCCAAGCCTGCTATTTCCTTCAACATTTCAGTTAGTCCATTATTGTTATTTGATATCTTCTTTGCACTATCATTATTGCCAAAAGTTTTAGAAACATGGCTAACTCCTTCAATATCATCTTCATTATTATTATTATTATTATTTAGTGGTTTCTGATTCAAGGCTGTCCTGTTTTGGTTCCTCTCTATGATGGCAGGTTTGTTCTCACAGTGTCCTTGGATGCTAAACTCACCATATACACTTTGTCCATCTGCTACCATCATAGTGGGCTTCACAGCTATAGTGGGTTTTTTAGCCACAGGAGGCCGGAAATTTCCGGTGTTCCCAATATGGTGGTTGTTACTGTGATTGGCATTAGTTTTCACATGGCCATGGTTAATGGGTATCTTTTCCGGGTCTGGAGGGGGTTGGTGCAAGCTTTTTGGTTTAAAGCAGTTCTTGCATTCACCAGGTTTCCAAACGTGTTCAGTAAAAGTGTTACAGGCAGACATTTTAGAAAATAGAACTTCATCGACAATGCTTTCCTTTCAGCACATGGCAATACTTTCATATGTATCGTAGAAGCTCTTGTTAAGTATCATCAATCTGTAGGGAGAAAAAAGAAGAAAATTCTAATGGAAAAGGCACAGTGAAGCTTTTCATGATAAGTAACATGTAAAAATTGGCTCTATTCTTTAAATTAAAAGATTGACAGAAAAACTAACTTGAGCACTTAATGAACTCCCTTTAGCCAATCAGCATTTTGGAAAATTAGCTTTTCAACCATAATTTTATGCACTCTCATTGAACCATATTAATCTTTTGTTTGATGTCTGTGTGGCAATGATACTGTGACCTTCCCCTCCTGGAAATGCCTTTGAAACAGCTATCCATCAACTTGTCTGACGCTCCTTAGTATATTGTGGGTTCCTTTTCTTCTACTCACCATTTACATTTTGGGTATCTCATAGACACCTCAGACTCAATGCATTCAAAACTAACCCTCTAGTTATCCCTTTTTTCAACTCTAAGAAACTATTCTACTCTAACCAGCCCTTCTCTACCCAAGGCTACCTTCTTCCTCTTTCTTTTATCCTCGTTCAATTAATGTCATTCACTTAGATAGCTAAACTTCAACCTTCAGACCATTCTTAACACCTCTCCCCTCATTTCTAACTCCACATCCTACTAATTCCCTAAATTAGTTTTGCCAGTTCTATCTATTATATTTCACTAGAACTCATTCTTGTCATCACCAGACACCGTGAGTAGTTATTTTGCCTAGATTCCTGCAATAGGCTGTTAATTGATCTTCACCTCTGTAGTCTTACCCCATTCCAATCTAACCTATCTATCCTTGTTATTCAAAGTATGGTCCTTAGTCAAGCAGTATCAGCCTCAACTGGGAGCTTGTTAGAAAGGTAGTGTATTAGATCTACTGGATTAGAATATGCATTTTAATGAGATTCTTAGGTGATTCCACTGTTCTACACTACCATCAGATTTAACTTTCTAAAATGCTAATATGATCATCTTACCTAGCTTAACTATTCTGTGGCTCAATCTTACCTCCTGCACTGGCTACCAAATGTCAGTGTGCAGACTAGAAGTTGCTAGGTAAAGAGGAACCACCTCACCCGGCTGGTGTGGTTCACTGGTTGAATGTCAACCCATGCACCAAGAGGTCACTGGTTCAATTCCCAGCCAGGGCACAGGCCCAGGTTGCAGGCTTGGTTCCCAGTGGGGGGCCTGTAGGAAACAGCTGATCAATACTGTCAATGTTTCTATCTCTTTCTCCCTCTCCCTTCTTCTCTTTCTAAAATTTAAAAAAATAAATAAATACGAATCACCTGGGAAACCACCCTAGATGTATCTAGTTAAGTTCTCCAGGTAATTCTGTGTGTATTGGAACCTCTAGTCATTGGATGGAATACAAGCCCTTTAGGTTTTCATGATATGGTCCTTGTCTCCCTTCTAGCCTTATGCCTTGAAAATTAAGTAGTCTAATAAAGCTCTAAATCCCACTGAGCTATTTATTTTTCTTTGGTATAGCAAAGCCACTTAGACATACTACCTCCATTTAAAAGTATTTTCATTTTTAACTGTTTCCTCACTTCAAAAAGTTTATGAGCTTCTTTAAGGCCTACACTATATCTCATTCATTTCTATGTATCTAGCATAAGAAGCTGAATAAATACAGGTTGATTGAAGTGCTGGTTTTAAGTTAAATTAAAAAATAACAAAAACAAATGAATCTTGTGGCTTTCTCTCTCTTGTCTTAGCGCATAGCTGCAGACTTTCCCACAAGACATCATTAGTCTTACATTTCTACATTGGAGATTATAATAAAGTTGACAGTAGGTATGTATATGTGAGCACTATTTTAATAGCTGGAAAGTTTAATGTCATTCATGTACAATGACAGTGACACTATTCTTGCTTTGATCAGAACACTAGCCTTTCTGTCAAGTTTCAGCATGTTTATAAGGGAGGAGTAATATTTTCTCCAGCAAATATATACAAAACTAAATCACTTGTAAACAATACTCATAAAAAAGTCTGCCTCAATGGAAGAAGTACAGACTTAAAGATCAAAGAATTCCAAACAGAGAGTCCAACAACCCAGCCAAAATCTAAGTTCATTATTTGCTAAAGATCACTGAACTACTCTTTTCAATAAAGTTAAAATATATGTTTCAAGTGTTTGTTTAAAAACACTTAACTCTTTCAAGAATTCTAAAAGCTATACCCCTTAATTGATAAAAAACCATTTTCTGCTAGTCTGAAACTAGAACATTTTGAATAAGGGGAAGAATGGCATAAAATTAGGCTAAAAAGGAAAACTGGGGCCAGATTACACAGTTTTTTTTAGGCTTTCAAAGATTAGAGTTTATCCTAAGAGTGGTGTGAAGCCACTTAAGGGTTTTAAACAGGGAAACAATATGATATAATTTGCATTTTAAAAAAGATGGCTTTAACCAAAAAAAACATGAAATACTTAGTTATAAATTTAACAAAATATGTGCAAATTCTAAAATCTATACACAGAAAATTATAAATGATAAAAGATAGCAAAGATCTAAATAAATTTAGAGGTATACCAAGTTCTCTTAATACTGTTAAGATGGCAATTGTACCCAAAGTAGATTCAAGATAACTCCAATCAAAATCTGAGCAGGATTTTTTGTAGAAATCAACAAACTAATTCAAAAATGTATATTGAAAAGTAAAGGAACTAGAATAGCCAAAACTATTCAGATTACCTGATTCCAATTCTTAGCATAAAGCTATAGTAATCCTGACAATGTGGCATTGGTCAAGGATAGAAACACAGAATGGGAAAGTGGGGTAAGCAAATTACAGACGATAGACAAATCTAGCCTATCTATTACCTGTTTTTGTATGTCCCTAAGCTAAAGATGCTTTTAAAATTTTATATGGTTGAAAAAAGTCAAAATAATAATGTTTTGTGACAAGTGAAAATTATATGAAATTCAAATTTCAGTACTCATAAATAAAGCTCTATTGGAACATAGCCAAGCTCACTTATTTACATATTATCTATGGCAATTTTTATGCTACAAGAAGTGTTGAATAGCTATGACAGACAGACTGTCTGTGGCTCTCTCATCACTTTGCAGTGCTTTTCAGCCCTCTACAAATAGCAACATTTCCACTGCTACATGTATCACCTGTGTGAAAAGACATTTTTCAAAGACAAAAATATGTAAAATTTCATCATAATTATACATTACTAGATGAACATTTGAATTCAATTATTAGAAGAAACATTAATTTTGAACCTCTATTAAGCAAAATGTTATTCCCCCCTTCCATTCTTCTTTTCAGTAGAGTTATGTTACAAAAATTGTACTCAATTTGTACATTTTATTTTTTAATTGAATTTATTGGGGAGACACTAGTTAATAAAATTATACAGGATTCAGCTATACAATTCTATAATGCATCATCTGTATATTATATTGTGTATTAATTATTATATTTAAATTTTGTCAAAAAATTCATGGAAATTTATTTTCTCTCTTTATACATGTATCTACATAATATCTTGTATTTTGCCTTTTGACCTATAAAACCTGAAGTATTTACTATCTGGTTCTTTACAGAAAAAGTTTGCTAACCCCTGACATAAATCAGAACAGATACAGAATAGACCAGAGTCCAGAAATAGACCCATGCAACTATAGGCAACTGAATTTTGACAAAGGTGAAAAGAATATTCTTTTCAACAAATGTGCTAGAACTGGATGTCCATAGGCAACAAAATAAACCTTGATCTCACATCCCATAAATAAAAAATAACTCAAAATGGATCACAGATCTAAGGATAAAACATAAAGCTATAAAACTTTTAGAACAGGAGAAAATCTGTGTAACTATGGGTTAGGCAGAGTTCTTAGATACAATATCAAAAGACTGATCCATAAAAGAAAAAGTAGATAATTTAGACCATATCAAAATAATGTTTACTCTGATTAAGATACTGATAAATGAGAAAATAAGACACAGATGAGAAATTTTTTTCAAAGTATATATCTGACTTTATATTCAGAATATATAAAGAACTTTAAAACTTCAACAAAAATAAATCTAATAAATATACAAAAGTGCCCTGGCTGGTGTGGTTTAGCAGTTAGGGTGTTGGCCCGTGCACCGAAAGGTCATGGGTTCCATTTCCAGTCAAGGGCACATACCTGGGTTGAAAGTTTGATCCCCGGCCCCAGTCCGGGCATGTGCAGGAGGCAACCAACTGATGTGTCTCTCTCACATCGATGTCTTTCTCCCATATCCCACCACCTCCCTCCTTTCCACTCTCTCTAAAAAGCAGTGGAAAAAATATTCCTTGCACTAAAGATCTTGTGTGAGGTTTTAAAAACAAAAAATACACAAAAGACTTAATCACACACTTTACCAAAGGTATATGAATTTCATATAAACACGTGAAAGATGCTAAATATCATTAGTCATACAGGAATGTACACTGAAACCACAATGAACTACCACTATACATGTATTACAATGGCTAAAATAAAATGAAAACAAAAACAAAAACTGGTGCTAGGGAGAATATGGAGCAGTCAAAACTCTCATATAGTGCTAGTGGGAATTCAGGTGGTTCAGCCACTGTGAAAACTGGTTTGGCAGTTTCTTATAAAGTTAAACATAAACTTTCCATGGAACCCAGCATCTCACTCCTATGTATTTACTACAAGACAAATGAAAAGTTATGTCTACACTAAAGCCTATACATATAAAGGTTTATAGGCAAAAAATAGAAACAATCTAAATATTGTGTGGTAGTGGTTATATGACTGCATGCATTTGTCAAAACTCAAAATTGTACACTAAATAAACCAAAGGTGATTTTTGCTGTATATAAATCAAACCTCAATAAATCTGCCCTGAAAAATAAAAGACAGTTCTGGCTGCTGTATGAAAACAAACTGGGAAAGAACAGGCCAGGAGACCAGGAGACTGTTTAAAGAGCTTGTTATGAGCAATATAAAATATGACAAGGATCTGGATTAGGATGTGGCACCAGAGAAAGAGAGAAAACTGAATGCAAGAATAACTGGATTTCAAAG